GGTCAGATGAACATGTCTATCTCAGTCTCTGTGGTTCAGGGACACAGCTACTGTGAAAATGTATATGTGAACCCGTCAGGTGCCCTGAGTATGACCAAGGATGTCACTCCACTAAATGGAAAAAGGTTAATGGTTTTACATCCAAGTTCTTCCTCTTCAGTCTCCTAATTAGACCATTGCCTCACACTCAGACAAAGTAGGAAAAAGGCCATTTTTTAAAATTGGCTTCTCTTTGTATAAACAAGTCACTTGGAGTCGCAGGCAAGAGGCAGCTGTAAACAGCTCGATAAAGGGGCAAAGGGCTCGCTGGGCTGAGGGATATTAATGGTTTGTTGCTTGCAAATACCCCTTTCCCCAGAGACCTCCCTATGCTCTGCGTATTCTCTCTGCACATGCTGGCAGCAAAGTGGAGGCTTTATTAAGAGAGCTACAAATAAGGTCAAATTCCTCTAGGAGCTTTTCAGAGTTCCCAAGGCATTCAAGGAAGGGTCCAGCTGTTTGCAGGGATTTCCCATTACAGTCAGAGACACAAGTTACAGCATGTTTCCAGTTAAAAGAGGATCCTGGCAGATTTTCTCTTTAACATGACAGGGATAGGATGGAGTTCTTCACAATACTTCCCCTTCACAGATGCTAAGCACATTCGTATAGACAATAGACAGAGAGAAAACAGGTGTTAAAGGGCTGCACCATCATGATACCTCAGATCCCTCCACCCGAGCACCTAATATACCTCGTGTCTACGGAATCGAAGAAGCTCATGTCCAACTCAAGTGGACTTTATCTCGACACTCCTACAGCAGTACAAGGGCTTATTTTTCAAAGTAGAAACAACACAAACTAAATTATTTGCTCCCTTACCTTTTGGGAGAGCCAGAAATATATGCAATGCTCTATTAGGCCACCCCTCCTTCCTATCTTAGACCTCAGTTATTTAAAAGCTGCATCTGTTTAAGCTGTAGATTTCTAAATTCAACACAAATGTACAGTTTGTTCACAGAGTAAAAATAAAGTAAAATTCTCTGAACTGTTTTTCATTAGGAGAGGAAGAAAAGATGCCCTTCCCCACCTTTGAGGCAAGTATGAATTCTTCACTCATCAAGTAACTCATGCTGCCTGGATAAAAATAATCACTGCAAACTTGTCCAGGACCTACTTCCCAGGAAGAGGCCCTTTGTCAAGACTCAGACTGGACACAAATCATCAAGCCCAGTGAAACTCCAACAGAATAAATCTTCTATGTGCAGAACATAGCTGGGTTCTGTGTTATGGGAATATGCCACAAAATCTGAGTCATACAATCATACTTGTAAGATCAGCTCGTTGCGAATGCCTGGGATCAAAGGCTGTCATGGAGCAGCCCTCCCTGTATTGCAGGGCTGTGGAAACGTGCAGGGAAATGTTCTCTAGCTAGAGAAAGCTTTGATTTATAAGCCGTGATGTTTTCACCTGCTCCTGAGGGAACAGCATTGCCTGCTGGGCTAGGCAGGCCCATGGCAGGAGTACAATTTCTGGAGCAGGTTGAGGGACACCACGTGCCGTTCCCACGATTGCTAGTGGCAGCTGGAAGCGCAAGCCCCTCACTTAAGGGCTGCAGATGTAGGCAGGACTATAATTTCTTGCAGTGTGGCATGATGAAGCACAGTGTGAGTATGTTTTTCATTGTTTTGGGTTGCAGGTGGATCCTATACCAGTTTCTCCTATGAAGCCAAGAGAGGAGCGATAACCAGAGTCACAATTCACCTTCCCTTTCCTGCATCACTAGATCTCTGTCCCATTGGGTCAGCTCACACAAATAGAATCATAGAATGGTTCAGGTTTGAAAGGACCTTAAGATCATCCAGTTCCCACACCCATGCCACATGCAGGGGAACCTTCCACTAGAGCAGGTTGCTCCAAGCCCCGTCCAACCTGGCCTTGAACACTGCCAGGGATGGGGCAGTCACAGCTTCTCTGGGCAACCTGTGCCAGGGCCTCAGCACCCTCACAGGGAAGAACTTCTTCCTTATATCTAAACTAAATCTCCACTAAGTTTGAATCCATTACCCATGGAAGGAAAGTCACAACAAGCAGAGACTGCCTGTAGCATTGGCATCATGCTGAGGGAATCAGTGAGCTGAACATACCAGCAGACCTCAACAAAGAGTCACATACAGCTGGGAACTGAGGAATGGATGAAAGACCACCTGCTCACCCACTTTGGGGTTTTTTTGACTTAAGCTCACACACACACCCTCTCCACTCAGGATTTCAGCATGCAGAGAACATCAGCATCAACAGCTATACTGCCTGTTTTTCACACAGTGCCCAAAAGTCTGGGAAAACCTGCGGAAGGCATTGGTCTGTGGTTGGTGCCTCACCTCTCATCCCCAGCCCTGCAGGGCATGCAGCTAGCCACTTCCCCAAACACACGTCCTACCTTCCCTTTGCTGTTATGCAGGCACGACATACTTATCCCCTCAGAAATCCAGGCTATTTTAACAGATACTCCAGAAGCCAGTAAAGCCAAACTTGCAGATATTTGCTCCTGCTCAACAACTTGGCCATTTTTAGCATCATTTCACAATTTAAAACCTTGCACTGGATTTCATTGTAAAGCTACCTCAGCATTCCCACTACTAGCTTGGCATTACTTTGTCTGTACTGAGCCTGCTCTTGTAACCAGTTTCATTGAAGAGCTGACACTTGATGAAGGCCTTGCTTCATCCCAGCAAATGGGCATGCTAGACTCTAGGATCTGATATCTTGGGCAAACATCCCAATTTGTAGAGATCACAAGGCCAATTTGAGAACGGGGCATAAAAGCACTCTAGATGGTATGGCACGTGCAGCTCTGCCATCACACCTCACTGCTTGTTCTCTTAGCTACAGCTTTGCTCTCCCAGCTTCACTCCTCCCATCCTGTTTTCTAGTGCCAAACACCCTGTTCTCAGCCAGTACAAGTTTCAGGACCTTGCTTCTGGCCAAAGAAGAGTAAAACTTTACCCTTAGTGGCTTTATATAGAGTTTGCTTCACATTGACATTCAAGATCAGGACCCAATGCTAGTACCTTGTCACCAGTACGTGCCTGTTTCTGCTCTCTCAGCAAGGACAAAGGTGTGCTCAGGTATATGCTAGAAACCCATCAAGTTTCGCTGACTCGGCAAGTTATCAACCAGCAGCCAAACCACCTCCACCCCAGCAGCCAGTGCACACACTCTTAGCCCATCCCAAACACCACATGAAAGAGGTCTAGGCTAACCTGTTACACATATCTCTTTCAGCTTCCGCACCCTGGTAAATGGGGGGCAACAGGAGCACCTCCAGGGACATCAGTCACCCCAGGAGACTGGAGGTAACTTGTTAAAGGACAGTGACTCTCCTGCCATGCCTCTGGCTCGTGGGACTGGGTAGGACACCCTGCACTGCTCAGCTGTGCTGCAAGTGCTCCGGTTTTCACACCTACACAACTAAGGCACTCACCATGCTGCACAAATAACCTGAATAGCCTGATTCCACCTGTGGTTTCCTACTGACACCCATCATCTGTGCATCATATTTCCAAGCAGTTAGTTCACATGCTTCCATTTGAATAGCATTTAACTCCTAAGGGCACTGGATCAGCAGCTGAGAAGCCAAAGATGCCCAGATACAGCTGAACAGATACCAGCACAGGCAAAAGCAGCAGGCCAAGCTTCCCTGCACAGCCGCTCTGGAAGCAATTCCTCTGGGAAACCAGTTAATACTCTCTCACGTCTGCAGAGGAGGATGATGAGGAATGCTGACAACAGGATTTTGCACTGCAGACAGCTTCTCTCTCTGCCATAGCCTAAAATATTCAAAGTCATTTCACACTGGCTCAAGAACAGACAGTTTTAGTGAATGTTTTTAAATTTACTGATCCTTAACACACAGGAATATAAGAACCTATGACAGCCTGAGAGTAAAGAAGAAACTTGAAGGTACTGTAAGTCAACCATAACATGATGAAACTGAACAACTTGCTCTTTGAATTTTCACCCCTTGCTTTAAATACACTAAAAGTTTAAATGCAATGTCAAAGCTTGACTTTGCCATAGATGGTCCATGACATGCACCAGTAATATGCTCCTCTATATTACAGATAGAGGCTCAGTCAATGAACCACCAGGAGGACAGAAAATTAAAGAAATAGAAGGAGTACCTCCAAGCATATAATCTGATGGATCTGCTAAAAGCCTGTGGCTTGGTGTGTTAGATGGGTCTAACACTGTGAAAATTGGTCTGCGGTGGACCATCCTGATCAAAATAAAAAGCATGTATGTATTTGTATTAGACGGGTATAACACTGGAATTGGTCCATGGTGAACCACCCTGATTATCTGGAGTGAGTGTGCATGGCAAAGAGCCAACAAGGCCACTCGTCCTGGTACAGACTGGCCTCCTGTGTCGGGATGAGTCAGCACTTTTTGGCGTATAAAAGGCCCGGAGTCCAAGAGAGATCGAGAAGGAGGTGGATACAACTACCTTTTATGGCTGACCTTACCTCCGCGGGGACGCCTGCAAAAGTATGTGCCTGCCACCCTGTTTGTACACAATGCACCTCGGAGCTGGCCTCCTGGTCATTGGACAAGTGTGGGGGTCGGTAAGAATCTGTGCCTGATCTATTCTTTGGTAGCCTTTAGTTATCTCTCTTTCTAGCTTGGTGTATCTCTGGATTTTACATCTATTTTAGATCTTGTAATAGACTTTCTAGCAGGTTGGGGGGGGGTGTGGCTTATGTTCCTTCTCCACCCAGAATCCTTCGATCCCTGGAACACTTGGTAACTTGGCTAGGGTATCTAGCTGAACCTCAGTTCAGTGCCCATCATGAAACTCATCACTGGTTAACAGAGTACCACACATCAGTAGCACCACCATGGCAGCTTGCATGCCCCAGTCCTTTTCCTTATCAGGATCTGTGCCAGCTTTACCATGAAGACAGTAAATGAAACCACCCTGCCCAGATCAGTGTGAACTGTCAAGCTATTCCCCTGCTTACCTATCATGGGCATCCCTAGGTTTTGGTATGGGCACTCCAGGCTGCCTCCTTGTGTCCTTCCAAAGATAGCAGAGTAAATGGCAATCACCATGCTCTTCTTACAGCTTAACCTCAGCTTGTCATCTTCACAGGCTACTTTACTCTTGTATTCATCTGGAATGAAACAAACAATTACTTAGCAGATCCAGAGGTAGACACTCAGCACTTCACCTCCCCATGCTGTGAGCTTGTCAGAGGCAGCAGAGATTTTGGGCATAAGCCCGGGGTGCACATCAGCTGCCAGGACAATCCCAGCCTTACAACCGCATTTGCTGGAGTAGCACTGATCATATACATTATGCATTCTCTCTCTGGCATTATCATCACATTTAATGAACATATTTTAACTTAGCATGTGTGAGTTCCAGTAAATAGCCAATAATTTCTTTTTGCAGACAAATAACTGAGGCATGGTAATTGAGTGATTTCCACCCAGTGATATTATAAGCCTGCGGCAGGGGAAGGTAAAAGCCCATACTTAGACACCTTTCTCATCCACGGATCAGCCCTTTATGTGCAAAGCATTTATTCTACATCACAGCAGGTCATAATTATGCTTGATAGGTTTTTTTCACAGCTGCTCTCCTTTGGCAGATTCAATAGGAGATACACTAAATATGTTAAAGCTGGAAGCTGCTTTTGCCTTTTGTTGCAAATACAGATATGCAAAGCTGCTCCCCAAATCCTTCTTGAGATGATCAGCCCAAGAATGCAAAATACACTCCTGCTTTTGTAAGGCTGGTGCACACAGAACAGTCACTCAGTTTAAACCTGTCAAGGAGACTGGGAAATTATTTCATAAGAAATCACATGTCATTCCTTTCCCTTACTATTATTTGTATTATGGGAACCTCTAGAGGTCCCAGCCTAGAACAGGCCCTCTCCATGTATGTCCATCAACACACCACAGAAGACAAACACTATTCTGAAGAGCTGAGTCTTGCCAGTTGGACATCTACAACTACGAAAGAAAGAGACTAAGAAAACTGAAGTGGTATGTCTACGGTCACCCCAGCCAACACAGGGCACAGTCAGGAATACAAATTCAGCTTCCCCAGCCTCTGTAGAATGACCTTCCATTTGATAGTGTTACCTTTAGAAATATAGCTATAATGGCATCCAAATTGTTTAATGGGAAGGGTCCCTGACCCATGGTAACCTCCCAAGCATGATCAGCTGTTTCATCTAAAATGCTTCCAGCCGTACCAAGTCAAAATTGTGCCACAGAGTACACTAATGTCCAAACAGCGTAGATAACCATCAGCCAATGCCTGGGGCTGCCCCTGGCCTTGTGTCATTTACTAGCATAGACACAACTTTTGTCTCTCCCTGTCACTGGTTCTCTATGCCTAATATCACACACACATATATAAGAGGACTTAGACATAAGTCCACATGCATTCAGCTACTCAGCAACTGAGAATACTATTTATTACTTTATAGTTTAATACTTAAGTCTTTACATCACGGCAGCTAGCACTTCATGTGACATTTTTGACTGCATTGTAACTATAGGTTCAAGAATCATTTTTCCTTATTGGAGATGTTGAGGAGTTTTCCACCAAAGTTGAATCATAAAAGAATTTCGGTTGGAAGTCTCCTCAGGAGGTCATCTGGTTTAACCCATGCTCAATGCAGGGCTAATTTCTACACTAGATTAGATTTTTTTCAGAAGAAACTGTGTGGAGAGAACACATATTATACCAAAAAAGGCACATGCTGATTCAAAAAAGACCACCTGAGAACAAATGGCTCCTCAAGATCAACATGGACATTCCTACTCAAAGCCAAAAAATAACTCCCTCAAAATAGCTTATTACCTGTTTAGAAAAACCTCTGAAATATCCTGGTTTTATCTCACTACAGGGAAACTTTCAAACCTCTAAAATATTTATTGCATGGGAAAACACTTTTTCACCCATCCTGTGGATGAAACCTAACTCATTCATGGGAGAATCTGTGTGAAGAACACACATCCTTGCGCAATACCTATAGGGTAAACCCATGACCAGCTGAGCTTGTAAAACAGTAACCGTAGTCGGGAATAGAAACTCTTTTCATCATCAGAGTTGATGTTGAAAGAGAGGGAGAGATGAACCTCACACAGCTGTGAAGAACCAATCATCATTTTATCTACGTATCTAGGTATTCCATCCACAATCACCATGAAAGCATTTGAATAACACACTGAACACACTGAAAGTTATCATCTTCACCTAAAATTGTCTCCCATAGGATTTTTGTTTCTTCTGTGAGGGACATGGGATCAGAGCTTTAACTTAACTATACAGTGTAAAACTTAACAAAAACACAAAAGCACAAAACTCTGCAATAGGACGAGCTATACATAGTCAATGTTAAACTATCATGGAAAGGGAGAGTACTTGTGACTGGCCGAAGTGTTTGAAATATGAAATGGTTTATTAACTTTAGGAAAAGATCAATTTTGAAGTCTCTAATGAACAAACACCGGGTCCTCTGTGAAGGTCTTATTTCTTACAAGGCACTAACTTAAATTTTCTCTTCTTTCTTTATTATTAGCTACATCTCCCAGTTAACAAGTATAACTGGTTGCTTAACCATATGTTTGTGTGGACCCATATAAGGTCCTTAGAGTATTTATTAAACTCTGTTGACCATTCAAAGTCAGGACTTGACATTTGGAAACTTGATTGGGTTTTAAACACAGTGTTTAACACTGGGATGCAGAGATACATTTCTGTTGCAAGTCAGTCCAGCAGTCATGAGACAGTCAGCAACAAAACTCTGCCTCTCACATTTGCAGTTCTTACCCTTGAGACCACTCTGGGAAGTCATGTTCAGAGCTCATGGGGGAAACTGCCTGATGGACGGCTCAAGATACCAGACCGGGGAGGTGAATCTGAGTGCACACTCCGTAGGAAACAGTGCACTTTATGGGTCATGTGCTGCTGGCACACTGCAGTGTGGAGTAAGAGGGCTGTGCCACCCGAAACAGATGCCACCTCATGATCACTAAATGCTTCTCTAGGAAACACCTATTGGAGCTGCCAGTTCCCAAGGCTCTGACTAAGGCCAAACTGGTAAGGGCTGCAGTTCCCTGGGCTGGCACAGGTAAAAGACACTGCTTTCTTAAAAGGAAAAGGAAGAAAAAAGAAAGAATTAAATATACAGCAGTATTTCAGACTCCCAAAAGGTACCCTAAAGCTTGATCACTGGAGAACATATACTGTCAGTGTTTCTGGGCAACCTGATAGAGATCTGGATAAACAAACAGATAGAAAATGATGTTACAGAGAACACAGGTCCCTGAAAGAATTTTCTGCTTCATAGCATTGCCACCCCCATTTTAGCCAGGATGAACCAAAGCCAGACATTGATGTCTCACAGGCATTGGACAATGGTAAGAACTGTGATTGATGTAAAAAAAAAAAAAAATACAGAGCTAAGCATCATCCATATATTTACTGGTACTTCAACCCATAATAGCCTTATATAAATATTGAAAAGAACCAAGGCAGTGTAAGTGACATAAGAGAGCTGGGACTGGGAACAAATCTGCATTTTCCTCTCTCACCCTCCCAAGAAGAACTGGCCTCCTACAGATCAATCACAATCTGGTCCTAAGCCTGCTATAACTGTTACAGTCTGGATATAATTCAGTCCAAATGCAAACATTTGTATTAGTGGGTTTCATGTTTCACCCTGAAAAATTAAACATGCTTAAATGGCCTAGGAAAGGTGGCAGTGATATTCAGCAAATGGCTTACTCAACTCTAATCCCCCGTGCAGTCATTTGTAGGGCAACAGAGATTTACCATGATTAAGATATTTGCTAAGGATAATATGCCTTTTACTGCTGCCTGTTTTCAGAGACACTGGCTTAACTATAACTCAGTAGAGAGAAACCAAGGAGGGAACAGCTGCAGGCTTTTCTAGACACATTTTTAAAGGTCATTATATGACATGAATATAACACAGCTAGAACAATTAAGGGGAAACAATTATAGAAGTTTCTAATGGAAAAATTGGCTCTCTCAAACAGTAAAGTGAACAAGAAGACCCTTTGTAATTACAGGATGTTTGCAATCATACTAAAGTATTGACCTGTAGTAAATACATTGACCCAGTGTCTTGAGAATATTTTCACTTTTGGTCCATGACAATTTTCTGAATGATCATGATTGGGAAGCTCAATACTAAATGTCAATTGGCTCAATCTCTGCAACACCCTAGGTATAAAAGCTCCTAAAAAGATTTGGTGTCTAACACAGTGATGGAATGCATTAAAGCCAAATGTCTACCTTGCCTAAAATTGTATTTTTCAACAGAACTTGAGGAAAAACGTATTAAATTTTGCTAATTAAAATACGCATGCTTCATATAGTCAGTGCATAATAGTTGACCCTATTTCTCAGATCAAAGGGCTGGAAATACATGCAAAGAGAAATCTGCCTTCCTTACAAAATCCTAAAGGATTTAAATCTTAGAATTGTGAATCTGATCAAAGAAAGAGATTCTGTAGGAAACAGAGATGGCTTTGCACAATTCCTTATCAGGTCAGGATTTAGACTTCAGGATAGAAGACTATCTTATCTACCTTATAATTTAAATTAATGAGACTGCACCCAAGATGCCACTTCAGAACCAAACGGCACTCCTTTAATTGATAAATGAATATGTTTAACTATTGGGTAGTGGTTAGTGTTGGTCTGTGTAAAAGGGAATAGGGACAATTCCCTTTCTCACTTGGCCACTCTCTCCAGATGAACTGTGTTAACAGCAAATACATCTCTAGTGCTCCATGTCACTCTGTCTGTGTCTCTTACTGCACCTATCACATACAGATTGGTTGCAATTTTGAACAGCTGAGATGCACAGTGGGCCAGATGGTGCAAGTGGAATACACAACCTTTTGGTCATAAGCTAAAATTCAGCAAACTTTTACAGACACTGGAAGTCATAAAAAAATAATAAAGATGATGATCTCAGATGTGGTGAGATGTTACTCATTTCAGCACATGTCTAGGCAGAATATTTACATTGTAAAAGTCACCATATAGCAATTTTTTGAATCATCCCAAAGAGAAAAGCCAAAATAAGGGTTAATCATGGAAACATGAACACTTTCCTAT